TAGTTCCGACTATTTTGATACATCTTACCAATAGTGTGTGTGTGTTCCCCCCGTCAACTATTTCTGAATAGTTCTACCAACACCGCGTACTTTTCAAAACTAAGGTGCCAGCGGTCAGATTGAAAAATTAATATTTAAAAATATTCAACAAGCGGAACTATTGTTAAAGCGTTAAACTAATCGGAAGTGATTCACTATTGTGACACAACTATGTCGAGAACTGTCAGAAACTCAATTGGAGCTATCTAAGATTATTTACAAATAGTTAACGAGCAAAACTATTTTTACGCTTCATCTATGTGGGAACTATAGAACTTTCCTAGAACTATATGATTCTGTAATTGAAATGAAACTTTTTTCGCAACTTGAGGCGTCACGGAAAGTCAACCGCTCGTTTTCACATGCTATTTTTTCTATTCAAATCAACGGGACTATTTCTAAAATCTATCGGAAACTGTGGCACTATTGCGGGGGCAAGCGGAATCGATAATAAAAACGTTTGATTTTGGAAAATAAACTGCCAACACAGTGGCTGAACTTCTCAATCACTCGCGTCATATTGTCTTTGAAATACTTTCAATGATTTCAAGTACACTTTCTGTACACATTCGAGCGTGATAGACTATTTCAGCAAAATTAATGATAGCATTGATAACATAATATAAATAATGTAATATTAATAAAATAGTATAATAATATTAATATAAAAAATACAACGCGCTGTTTAAATATATAATAAATTTAATTTTTCTGTCGATAAAAATTTACTCGCTCATAATTACTTTGAATATTTTCGCTGAAGAGTTCGTATCGGGAATAATTTTAGCGAGTCTATATAAATGAAACCTCTTGTACGAGAATTAATGTTTTTATATTTTTTTCCGATAAAAAATTATACTTGATGTAATTTAAAATAATAATTAAATCACACGCGTGATAAGAGTGGGAAGGAAAATAAAATTCTCAATAAACGGATATTTCTGCGGTTATACGCGACAAGAGAGAATTATATGCGCAACAATTATTAAAACGAATAAAGCGTGTATAAATAATCGTCGTAATAATGATATGAGAGTTTATAATGAATACAGAACAATCGTATGCTAGAATTGCACGCGCAATTTGCACGAAGACGAAATGTCGGATCTATCTGAAGTTGTCGACTAATCTGGAAATGCAGTAACCAAAATACCAAAATAGAGCAACGCGATCGTGGAGCTGTCGCTAATTATGCCAATCCAATGAAATGGCAGCGCGTTAGGCGTTATTTTCCTTCGGCGTATCTTGACAACGCCGCGTACGCGGCGTATATTAGCCGAACGTGAGGCACTTATCGATCGCTCATCGCGTATTCAACTGGGTCAGATCGTGCCGTATTTATTGCCGATGTGCACGCATTACGCGAAGCGCACGCTAAGTTGACAAAGGCGGCTCGTGACGCGATCCGCCGCCGATAACTCCATTCTCGCCTCTGTGAAATAATTAGGTGGTCTACTCACGCGCAAATCGTCCGGGAAGATCGTGCTAATGATTTTACGACGGGCTGAATAATTGATCGAAATTAGCTATTCACACCTACCCACACACACACACACACGTACACACACTATGTTTCTTGGCCTATTTTAACGTTCGCAAGATGCCTGACAGACATTAAATTCAATGTCAATTCAGTTTCTACCAAATCGGAGACGATCTTTAATAAACGTCACTTGTTAAGCGTGAAATAATTGACGTTTGACGATAATCGAGCTACTAAAATTCTGAAAAAGTATAATATATCTGAGGAAAAAAAGAACAAAAGTTTTATTATTTAGTTACAAAAGTTTAATTTACAAAAATACTATTTCTGATAAAAATGTAAATATTTTACTCGAGATAGAATTCGTCTTCGAAATTGAGATCGGGATTTTGCGAAGTAAACTTGTATAATCATTTCTATGAAAATATCTACCGCGTACTAAGTACATATGTCTTTGCGCTAAAGACAGAATTAAAATTGGAGAGAAATTCGCGTGGGTATGTCGAAGTGGATAGCGAGTTCAGACGAGACGTCTCGATCTCAAACGCGAGATGAAACTCGTGGCACTCACCAGGTTAATGGTGACGATGAGATCATATTGTTGTCGTTGTCCCTTCTTCTTGTTTTTGCCGGTCTTGACGGAGGCCGCCTTGGGTGTCACTTTCACTTGGCCTTTCTGGGCCGACGGCTTCTGGGCCGACCCCTTCGGCGTGCCCTTAGCGCCCGGCGCGACCTTCTGACCAGCCGCCGGCGCTTTCTGACCGGAAGCACCTTTTTGGTTTACATGACCCACGCCATCCGCCGGTTTGTTGCGTGCCTGCAGATACAAGAGACAAAATCTCCGTTAGCCGTCAGGTGCGAGAAAGTTTGTCGGGGGTAATCGAGTCGGACGGATGTAGGGCGGAGTATGCGATTATCGTCGGAGCGGAGTGCGACGTCGAAGCTTCATTCTCTTCGTCTTCTTTCCTGTGTAGTTTATTTGCAAATTTTGCAGGTAGACCGACGGATTAACGACGACTGTGGTAATTTTGTAAGATTTACGATTACTGTGAGCTCTCTCTCTCTCTCTCCAAGGTCCGGTTTTTCATTTTCTTGTTAACTGTTAAACAGAGGTTAATCGACTCTCCATCTTTTTCTATATTATTATCTAAGAAGGGATAGGTAGTCGACTATGTAACCTCTGGTTAACATTTAACCAGAAAATGAAAAACCGAACCTAAAAGTCACTCTGTGAATTTTTTCATTAAAAACAGTGAATAGTCACTGATTTATAGTTGTAAGTAGCATTGTGATTTTCAGTACACGGAGAGAATTTTCTCTCAAAATTTGCCCTGAAAATTATGTAATCGTGGCGCAACATGGCATCTTGAAGAACCTTATGGGAATTGTTTGAAAATTTACCATACATTTTACTAGTAATTATACTTAGTACACACTTTACTAGTAAAATGTATGGTAAAATTTTACAAAACTCTCATAAAATTCTCTAAATCGTCCCACGATTACATGATTTTTAGGATAAATTTTAAGAGAAATTTCTCTCCGTGCAGTATACTTATAACTGCAAATTAGTGACATATTTACTGTTTTCAGTGACAATCTGATCACCGATTGACTTTTATAGAGCTTTATTACAGAATTTTGAAAGTTATAATACTATATGTTTCAGTTGCATGTAACATTTACACGTTTTAAATGTACCTAAAGCGTATCGCAATCGAATTACCAGGATAATATGTCATCTAAATCTCGCCACGTCGTATTTAGGTTCATTATGGTTAACGTTTCAGTTACACTCACTTATAATCGCGTTGGCTCGTTGTATCAAAATCGATTCAATATTTTTGTGAGAGTTTTTTTACACGTCGGCTCGCTCATATCTCGCGGGCGAAAATGTCTGTATACGCTCTCTAAAAAGTAAGAGTAGGTTCCGAATACAACGGCGAGTCTGTGAGACGGGGAGTGCGTTGACTTTTTCGTCACTCGGGGACAAAAGAATTCGTTTAAATCGGGACCGAAACGTACCACGAATGTTTAGACGACTTAAAAATAACCTTTTCAATTAATAAGAACGACTGGATGCTTCGCGTGGGCGAGAATGCCGACGAGATAATTATAGATCTCGCTATCTGACGTGATCTTGACAGAGTCTACGACCTATGTACACGACCCTTGCGTCACGGAAGTATCGCGTAATTCAAGATTTTGCAATGCTACGGAATTTCTACTTTCCAATGTAGAAACACTGCTAAAGCTTTTCTTTAATTAGAACGTGCCAGTTAGCGTCGTTCAGCAATTTTTCTACATTTGTTAATCATGTACTGGAGTTAAATAATTCTTTGCGTCATTTCTACTTTCGTTCTACCGAGACAACCCTCGATACTTACGCTTTATACAATTTCGTTCGTCTATTATCCACGAACGGCTTCCAATTTCAAAATACTTTCAATGCCCCGGAGGATATAAATTCATGCTTGGGGAAAATCTTTTATTCTACATAGTAAAAATTCTTGGAATTAAACATCGTAACGTAAGTGTCGAGTCAAACGCTCAATTTATTATATTATCAAGGCGAAAATTTCTACTGGAAAATGGCATTTCTGAATCGTGAATTAATTCTAGATTTACGTGACTATTCTAAACCGTGGACTACCTATACTATAATAAACGTAAATATGAAAACACGAAAATATGAAACTACGATAATATCACGATGAATCGAATTACACATGTATAAAAGACTAATAATAGCATTCCTTATGAATGAAATTGTGATGCACTAACGCAGCGACTGTGAAGCAAAGTGTATTCTTGAGAAAGCGGGTTGTAGTTTTCAAAAGTAAAGTAAACTAAACTTGCGTGCGGAACATTACATTCCAACACGAGATCTAATTCGTGCCAAGTCCCCAGGCTCTATTAAGATCATCGTAATTGAACGTGATTGAGCGGCGTTCTGTACATTATTAATAAGCAAAGACCCGAGCCAAGATAAGGTTTATATTTAACTTTCTTATACTTGAGTTTATTTTAACTTGTCAATCCCCGGGGGTCACACTTTACTCCCGAAATACACCGGAAGCGCCCACCGGAACCCGCCCAACGCTCGCGCGAGCGAATTCTACCTCGCGTTCTCGACTACAATGCTTCTTTTTTGTAGAAAAAAAAGGGGCCAGTCTCCAATTATATTCTATCAATGTATTACAACGTGTTACAGCAATTAGCGGGCGCTACAATTTTCATTTCAATCAAACGTTAACGCGGCACACGGAATATCGCTACGGGGCCCTCCCCGTCCCCCCCCACCCCCCCTCGCCCCGGTAACAACCCGGTGATAACCGGGGTCGCGGTCGTCGCGAGAGATTCGTAACGAAAACATGGAAAATAGTCGGGCACATCGATCGGGAACCGGGCGTACGTTGAGCGCGATCGTTCGCTGCGCATGCGACGCCACGAGCGCGGATCGATCGCGCGGGCTGTGTATCAAAAGTGTATCAAAACAAATGCGGGAGCGTGTCGTTTCATGGGAATGCACCACCCCCTCGCGGCGGGAACGGGGGTGGGTGCCACGCCACCAGCCCCCGGGATCGTGGGATCCGCGCCCGGGGGGGGGGGGGGGGAGGAAGGGGTAGATCGCTGGCGCGAATCGCGCTGCACGCGATTACGCGATTCGCGTGCACGGTCCCTGGTCACGAGACGACCCTCTCTGTTCCCCCCCCCTCTCTCCCCCTCCCGTCCCGAGCTGCTTGCATCGCGTACATTGTAATTCCCGTTGTAGCACCTTTCCTGCCTATCCGCCCATCTTCGCCGGGGCGCAAGCGCGCGTTTCGGAAACTTCAACTGCAACTCGGTCAGATCCGGAGGTATCAACGCACGGCCTTGCGCGACTCCGGTGGTATTACATTTCACGCGAGTCTCCATTCTGGCGAGACGAACGCCAGGCGTCCGCTGGGCCGTTTCCAGGGTTTGCTGAGAGCTTAAAATCTGTTCCACAATGTGCTCTTATTGCGACTAGAAACATTCTATTTTGTAGTCAGTAAATAAGTTTAAAAAAATTTGCGAATTGATAAATTGTACATTACATATTGTCGATAAATTTTTTAAGCGTTTTGATTTGCTCATATGAAATGACTGAACAAGATATGTTCGCTACCGTAGCTAACCATGATTTGCTAAAAATATTTCGCTGCATTAACTATAAATTTCTGCACCACGCCAAACGGTTTGCTGTCACGCCTAGTATGTACAATAGGCACAGTAGCAATATAGCTGTCACAACTAAATATTAACTGTCCATATTTTACAACTGAAATTTATAGCGAATTCGGCAGCTTGCACTAGTGCGCACTGAGTGCACACCGGAGCTTGTTCAGAGCAGAAAAAAAGAATCTTCTTTCGAAAATATGTTTAGTTTTAACGTGAAACTCTTGAAACGAGATTATATTGCGTTAAAGGAAGAAAAATTTACTCGGACGAAGCAATTTTATATAATTCAATCATGAAAAATGTGCTTATTATTTAAGAATAATTTTCTTAAATGGAAAGGAAACGATATTGGATAGAAAATAACGTATTTTCAAATCGAAGGTTACAATGCTTAAACTAATTGTATTGTCAAAATAATTACGTATTCTTGAAGTGACAATTATAGCACTTAAATTAGACTGTAATATCGTTGGAATGTAAGATTATTAAATGCTTCTAAGAAAGTTATAGATTGTTGCGTATATACAAAATAATGAACGCCTTAATTTGAGCATATAAGAGTTGATGTGACACTTTTTTTCTGTGTACTCTTATATTTATGGCCATCTCAAGTACACGTTCAAAAGCTGTTTTGCCAAGAAAATGATCCGCACGAGTACTACACACATCATTTTCACTGGCTGGGAAGTATTTCAAAAAGTATTTGAGACCATCCTTAAATATAGGAATTGACTGTAAACAAGCTTTAGTGCGCACTCAGTGCGCACTTGTGCAAGCCGCCGAATTCGCTATTAGTTACCACATGCAGTTTTCAGCTGCGGCAGCTACAGTTTTCCGTGATGAATGTTTCTAGACGCAAAGAATTATAGATCAGGCTTTAAGAACGCTGGGGACGTTTTATCTTAATGGTCAGTCGTGTCTTCTACGAGATTTCCAAATATATTGTAGACATTTTTATAAGTGGAGACGAATAACAATTGTAGCATTTCGAAAAGGAGTTTTTTTTTATTCTGGCAAGATTTCTCTCCATTAGGAACCGCGTGGCTGTCGGAATAGAAGCTGTGTCATTGTACGTTTTAATTGTACGTAACTTCGACATTTCCTAAACGTCTTCTAAAGTCTGACGCAGTAGTGTCGACATCTCTATATATCTTCATTATTGCCATGGTTAACGCTAAAATTATTCATAATCGTCGCGTTGACTCGCTGTCGCTTATAATTTATAAGCGCCATGTAACTTATAGACGCTATATATCCAATGCTGGATCGACAATTCTGAAAACAGGGTTAAGACGAGCGTCTTCAAACTTGTTAATCCGAATCTCCCATTCGCCGCGAGTCGCGCATATTCCGTAATTCCCATGCCACCGCACGGTGCTCCCATGTATATATATATATATATGTATATACATGCATTTATCTTGTTAATCGAAAACGCCGAGAAGGCCAATATACTTGTTACAACTTTGCGCCGAGTGGCAGGTTGACTCGCTCAGGGGTTCAAGACCACTCGATGTCTCTCGTATACGCCGCCGTCTGTAAAGCTCGTTTTTCGCTACTGCAGAGTCAGAGAGACTCGCCGCCGTGCGTTGTAGGTGGCCTATGCTCCCGGGG